CATACAAAGCCTATATATAAAACATAGAACTTTTATTAACAAAACAAATAAAAATACACTATGCTATAGGGCAGGCTATGCCTAATATAAAATAACAAATAACTTACATAAAGTTTAAATAGGTAGCCTATACAAAACTGGAAATAAGTAAACATGTATAATACAGTATATAACCAAATAAATCAGAAACATAGAAAGTTTATTAGCAAAACGAATAAGAAAGCTTGGAGGCACGGCATACACCTTGATGTCAATAAATAAATGACACAAAGTTTAAATAAAGCAAACGTAACCGGTGTTGCAGCTTAACACCGGTATCACCGTCAGCACCGTCTATAGCGGCAAGCCTAATCAGAACGCGGCTGTAGATTGTGTTAAGGTGACACACAGCAGACCTGCAGAAACACGACAGCAATGAGATGCAGCGAGACCATCTCTTCATTTCTCAGATCTTTGATTGAGCTAAAACTGGGCTCAGATTTGCCAAAAGTCTCCAATGAAACTCAGACATGATCACACATTCCTTTTAGAGCTCTATTAAATATCTACTGTATCTTACTGTATGACAACAAGCTCCATTAAATCTCCTGAGCAACAACATATCTAATCGTAAACCTTCTCATTGCTGTTTCATCCATTGATCTGTCCATCCATCCATGCAGAAAACTAATGCTACACATAGGCCTGGGCGATAAAACGGTATCGATATTTATCGACGGTACACCTTCTTCGATAACGATATAAAAAATGTTCGATATAGTGCACGATATAGGCATGTGCATTTTAATGTCTTGTTAGTCTAGCCCATGAGATGCGCCGCTACTGTGTTATACATTCAAAATATTAGAGAAATATAGAAGCTCAATGCAGAGATCTTGATTAGGTTAAAACCGAAACCAAGCCATTCACACAGAACGCATATTCAACGCATTTTCTAGACGGACAAATATGACTGCTGCACTCGCGTATCACACAAGAGATGTAGCCATGCAAAGTTAAAACAGTTTAAACTTTTAGAAAACACGTCGCGAATTTGCGGAGGTTTATTCCTTTTCACTGCGTCTCTTATGTTTTTAAATACAATCTGCGTGAATGGCGCCCTCCTGTGGCCTCGGGAGACAAGTCAAAAGATTCCTTCAGACCTATTTAATCTGCATATAAAACATTAGAAATTAGATATTTGTTTAATTTTTATTGTGTGTTTGACTGTTAAAACAAAACATATTTGTTGTTTGTCTCAATAAATTGGGTTAATTTAAAAATACAGTAGTTAAATTTTTTTTTAAAAATTCTATTGCTCTTTGTTTTTAAAAAGGTTATAAAAAATGTCAATAATTATCGATACCGAACGATATGAAACATTATATCGTTGATACATTTTTTAGCTATATCGCCCAGCCCTAGTTACACATGACAGTTAAACAAGAGTTAAAGCAGCTTGGGTTAATGAAGCAAAGCTTGACGCTGTAGTCAAACTCCATCTCTCTCCTCCAGCTCCTGAAGGTCACGTTATTCGTCATCAAGGATTTAAAAAAATATATATTTTTATAGAGATTACACTCTCAAAGAGCAGTTTCCAGCTGATTAAATATTTTAGAGCGGAGCAGAAAAACTTTCCATGATGTTATTATTCATTTCCATGACTGACCTTCTTCAGATTCCCAAATCACTGTTTTAAAATTCCCTGATTATTTCAGCTTTTCCATGACCTTAAAGGCATGAATCGCCTCTATTATATGAATCCAAAACAACATAACAAATGCTATTAAGTGAATTTGCATTAGAAATAACCACATTCATGTTATTAAGATTAATTTTTTGTTACTTTTTGTTAATTTTTTTAATTAATATTAAGTTTTCATTTCAACAAAAAGAAAAACAGAATAAATGTATTTTTATTAATTATATTCTATTATATTTAGATGCACTATATAATTAACATATATTATATATGAACATATATTATGCATTGATATATTCATTAATTAATATATAATTTAAATGCACTAATCAGATGGCTCATGACAACAGCACATTTGTATATTTTAAAACCATTAACCAATTTTATATGGGCATTATGTACTCAATAATGTACTCAATTTGATAAGATAGAAAAGTACTTACTGAGAAGAAAGTACTGTGGAAGTACCATTGTAAAGTGTACATTTGATAAAAATCATTTACCATGGTATTTACAAAGCACTTCAAGATACTTCCAAGAATACCATGGTACTTCTTTAAAAAGAAAAAAAAGGCTTTCCATGGTATGTATTCAGAGGTTTGTAACACTAGGTTCTAATCCACACATAAATGTACCATGGTAATGTTGAATGTTTACCAAGGTACACACACAAAAGCCTCATATCCACAGCCCTGGAATAGAGTACAAATGCAGCTTTGGATGCAAACATAAAATAGCAAAATCCAGTGGAACCAAAACAAACAACTGAAGCCATGAAAACGCCGAGAGATGAAGCTCACCTCCTCTCTATGATGGTCCGCTCCGCTCGTGTCTTATTCCAAACAATGTAAATCACTCTGCTTGAGTGGCTTGCTCTCTCTTCATATGTGAGGCATGTGTCTGAAACTCTCTCACATATGTGAGCGCTGCAGTCCGAGTCCTTCCCACCGCCAGCGAGGCACAGATGGACTCCAGATGGTCTTCCACGCCTCCCTCGCTCTCTGCTGATGTCATCGCCCAGGCCACGCCCACTGCGTGGCTCCTGGCCAATCAGCCACTGCTCTATTCAATACATTAAACTAGAGGAGACTCATTAACATAACTAACTGCTCTGGCACTCAAAGGCTAAACAAAGTGCATGCCAACTGAAGGGAGGGGAAGTTACCCACAACACCCCATGCTGTGTGTGCCGTTACTTTAGGCTGAACTATTCAACTTCTTGTGCTGTTTGCATCAATAACGTACCATTTTATTGCTCAGCGTTGCTCTTATGAGCCCTAATTGATGTCTTGAGTAACTTTGTAATGTAATGTTTCTTGTAAAATTGCTTCGAAGAAATAAAATACATGCAAACAGTCAATTGTTGATGTACACTAAGACATTAGAATAACTAATAAATCTCTATGTATTAGACATTATACTGTATATTTTTATTTGTACCCATAACGGTGTCATTTTAATATTATTGAGATACTATTATAGTTTTTATTAATACATTTTTTATTTCTATATTTTCATTTTAAGTTGAGTTAAAATGATAGTCAGTTCAGTCATTGTCTATTTATACTTAATTAATTTTTATTTCAGTTTTAGTTATTTTAGTACATCAAGTTAAACGAAATTAAAATGAGCTGAAATAAAGGGTTTTTTATATTTTATTTGAAGTTGTTTATTTTATTGTTTCATTTTTAGTTTACTATAATAGTAACCCTGACTCACAATTGTTAAATTTATCTGTTGCAATTTTATTTATTTATTTATTGAAATATTTATATTTATCTGTTTGTTTGCTGGGACAGAAATTGTGCTTTCCCCATACAAAGGAGATAAAAAATGTGGAAAAAATCGTCCAAATTATTCCAAACATTATTAATAAACAACACTTCATCCGCATGTCCGATCATTTTCTTTTCACCTGGGGCGAGGGAGGCGAAGTCGAACAAAATCTGACATGTAATAAGAAACATTATCTACAATATGGTGTCATGTGGCACATGAACTCTATCTCCCTCTCCATCTACATCTAGACAAATAAACAGAGCCCTGACTAGCGGCCAATCTCTCGTCCCGTCCAAAAAGAAAGTCAAAAACGCATGACCTCACGCTCAGAGATTTCTCAAACCTTTGGCATCACAGAGAGAGAGAATGAAACCCGATACGAGCAGAAATAACAAGAATTCATCATGTATAGTGAAAGAGCCATTTATAATCCAGCCTGATTAATCGGTCAATACTGAGATTATCGTTCTGTTATCAGAGCTCATCATTCAGCCTAGCGTCAGCTCCTAAATCAAATGATAATTGATGAATTTGGAGATTTTTTAAGTAAATATAGGCTATATTGTATATATTGTGTAGTGTAAAAAATAAAATGTAATAAAAATAATAAAATAAATTATATATATAATACAAAATTGTATATAATATATTTAAATATAAATAATATTATCATTAAATAATTATGATCATATATGGGTGTGTGTGTGTTAGGGTTGGGTATCGTTTTTTTTTTTCGATACCGGTGCCAAATCGATACTTTTAAAACGGTTCCGGTGCCTAATTCCTGATGCGCCAAAATTATATACAATATTAGAATGTTTAAAGGAGTGGACATGAAAATTGCGGGAGAGAAACACATGTTGCGGGAGCAGGCGGCAATTGTCAGAGATTCAGCTGGAGTGAGATTAAGAAAACAGCCGAATCCCGGACATTTTGGGCAATTAAGAAATCCCGGCCGGACGCATTTTTGTAGGTCCAAAAAGAGGACATGTCCGGGGAAAAGAGGACGTATGGTCACCC